GGGGGGGAGGGGGGTTTTCCACCCCCGCGCTGGCACTTGGTACCCTGCTTCTTCGTTTAGTGGAAACGGGTTCCCAAGAGCAGCTGCGCATCGTCTTTTACTCAGTTTTGAGATAGATGAGTATTTGTTTGGTTAGCGGAGGAGACACCGCTAGTTTGTTTTCCTCCCCCGACGAGGACCCACGAGTGTGTAAGATGCCCTGCGGGGGAGGCCAGTTGGCGCTGCGGCGGGCTGCAGGGCTGTCCGGGCAGTGCACGCCGCCCGGCAGCGAAGAAAAGGAGATCCCACTGGGGCTGTGGGCAAACGGGCTGTTCCCCGCACCTGCTCCGATTCACCTCCCCGCCTCGGTGCGGTAACCGGCCGCAGACGGTGTTTCCGATGGGCTGCTCATCCTCCCTCACACCTCGCAGGCAGCCCTGGTGAGAAAGATCTCCCTGCGTCTCGCTTCCGCAAGAAGCAGAAAAGTAATTAGGGAAAGCCAAGTAATGAAATACCACCCAAATATATTCGTAGCACATGCCATGGGTTTTATTCTTTGCGACGCAATACATCCCGAGTTTTAAATCTAATTTTCTAATTACGTACCCTCGTTAAATGGCTTAGTTCCTGTAGCTGTTACAATGGGGAGGTGTCCGGGAAAAGCAGGGGAGATCTTGGGGCAACGAAACGGGTTCAAATCCTTGCATACTAGCGCACTCTGTAAGTACCGGTGCGGGGGCACACAACGGCTTGCAGTGAAAATTGTTTTCTCCCAGCCGTATCACCATACTTTCTTTCACCAACACAGTGCATTTGGATTTAAACTTATCGCTACCATATTGGAAATAACCATATTTCAGCGAGAAACCTCCCGGCGGCCAGAGGTACAGAAATTACCACCTGCCCTATCAGACACATCAAATAGGTTGCAAGCAGTCTGACTTGCCCCGAGTTGCACGTGTCTTTTCAGCAACCACGGGTTGCGTTTCAAGTTGCTGCCTCGGCAAGGGACGCCGGAGAGGCAGCGCGTAGCGGGAAGGGTGGAAGCCGCGCTCAGCTGCCCGGGCCCGCCACGCCATCCGCTCCCGCGCCGC